CGAAATTACGAAACTTATGGGACGACAATTATCGCTTAAATAAAATAGTTGCGGGATTAAAAGTTAAAAATGGTCCCTCAAAAGATGATTCAATCCGTACGATGCACTCACAAGCTCGATCACCGGCAGGGTTGGTCTTAAGCTCGAAAACAAGCATACAGCCATGTAAATATTTTTTATTTTTACATTAAAATGAAGATAATATCATGTATTTTAACATATATTTTTTTCAGATTTAATCTGATAAAGCTGTTCTAATGTATATTTTAACTACAGTGACAATCTAAAATAATGTAACAACATCAAAATTTATTAATTAAGCATAGTAAAATATGAGTTTTCTTTTTATATAAAAGTTTTTAATTTTATTAATAAATATTTTTTATTAAAATTAAGATAATATCACGTATTTTAACATATATTTTTTAGATTTAATCTGATAAAACTATTCTAATTGCATATAAAATCAATTATTTTTTATATGTTTTAATTATAAAAAAATCATTAACTTATTTTTGAATATAATTAAAATTAAAATAAATAAAATTTCAAAATTAATTTAAATATTAAAATATAATATTTTATAATTTATAAGATTATTTCTAATAAAAATATTATTATTATAATATAATTTTTGTTTTAGTTTATACTAACTTGCAAAAAATAAAATAATATTAAAATTTATTAATAAAATATAATTTTTTTTATATAAAAGCTTTTAATTTTACTAATTAATATTTTTATTTTTATAAAAAATATAATTAATAATTCAAATTTTTTAAATTTTTTAGATTTAATCTGAAAATATTTTTTTAATTGCAAAAAAATTAATCAAATTATTTTGTAATTAAAAAATATTTTCAAATTAAATCTAAAAATTTGAAAATATTAATTATTAAAGTTAAAAATTTTATATAAAAATTTATATTTTAATATTATTTTATTTTCTTTACAAGTTATTATAATTATAAATTATAAATTATAATTTATATAATATAATATAATTATAAAATTATATATATAATTTTATTAATAAAAATTTCAATTTTATTTATTTATAAATATTTTATTTTTATATTAAAATAAAAATCATAAATAATTTATACTTTAATATATAATAACTAATAAAATTATAAAATTATATATATAATTTTATTAATAAAATATAGTAAAAATTAAAATTTTTATCTTATAATGACAATTAATAATATAATAATATTAATATGTTTTTTTAGATTTAATTTGATGAAACTATTCTAATTATATATAAAGTTAAGTATTTTTATAATTAAAATATATTAAAAATAATTGATTTTATATATAGTAGAATAACTTTATCAGATTAAATCTAAAAAATATATGTTAAAATACGTGATATTATCTTCATTTTAATTTAAAAATAAAAAATATTTATTAATAAAATTAAAAACTTTTATATAAAAAGAAAAACTCCTATTTTACTATGTTTAATTATAAATTTTGACGTTGTTGCATTATTTCAGATTGTTACTGTAGTTAAAATAAGTTTTTTTTTATTTATAAATTATATAATTATATTAATTTAAATTTTTTATATATTTTTAATTTGCAAAAAAACTAATAAAATACCAAATTTAAAATATGTTAGTATATAATAATTATTATATAATAGTAATAATAATAATATATATATATATATATATAATATAAAATTAACAAAAAAAATATTAATAAAATTTAAACTAAAATAATATAATAATTTTATTAATTAATTGATTAAACTAACAAAGAATTTATTATGATTTGTCCTGAATCTCAATTTGCTATATTGAATTTTTATAAGTCTTTGTTATATCAAATATTTATTATATTAAGATCTATTATATATTAAAATATATATAATTGGTTTAATATAAGATAAAGTTTATAATATTTTATTAAAAAATAAATAGTATATTTCAAAAAACAGATATGAAATTAAATAATCAAATAATCAAATAGTTGATATATCAGTAATACATTTGTCCAACAGCATTTGGTCTAAAAATTGAAACTTAGCAATTAAAAATAATTCAGTTTTATTTTTTTACTTTACTCATAGTCATGAAGAACATTTACCAATAGTTATATAATGCACAAAGTTTTTCACTTTTTATTGAGTTTTATATTACTCAAATGTTTTAATCTTGTTTTCTTATAGCACGATTCAACATTACACCAGCATGATCTCTGTTAATTTCAAAAATATTAAAAACTATCTTTATTTGTTTTTTTGTTAGCTTGATAATATTATTTGGCGTATCAATATTTTCATTACAGAGAACTTTAAAATCCATTCAAATGTCTAATTTCTATATCACATTAAAAAAGTTTGAATCTAGTATCAGTATGATCTTTGCTGATTTGTAAAATCATAGTTATTTCTTATGAAGTTTAATCACCTCTGCTGATTTATGATATAGCGATTTTTTGCAACTGTTTAAAATCAATAACACCGGGAAAAATTGAAATTTGTTCTAAAAAATTTCTCGATCTATAATTAAAAAGGTTATATCTTGTATTATTTTCAAGTTTGTCTTGCTCATAAAAAAATCGAATCTACCAAGGAGCCGTTTTCACGTTTATAGAATCAGCCAAACATGTACTTTCACGAATTCCGTCAAAATCAAACGCACCATCTTCCACACACATCACCAGCGAATACCAATTATAATTGTCAACATGTTTCAATTTCCATTTCAATTCTGGTACCAAGCCCATCAAGTAGCTACCGATCTCTGTGCCAAATTTCTCCAAAATCTTGTATCCGACTGCTCCGTATGGTCTCACAATCTCATGCACGCAATTGTATAGCTTGGTCGATGAATGATTCTCGATTTTCACGTGTGGTTGGTGTTTGTTACGGCGAAAATCGATTTGTATTTGCGCTGCGAATTCCGAAGTAAGATGATAAATTACGAATTGCAGCGCGTGGATAAATGAATCTACTTTTGCAGCTGCGGCTCGGTTTGGAAGGGATGTGTAAACGCTTTTTATCGGAAGTTGAAAGTAATGAATTTCTTCGGCCAGTATTTGACGTATTACGGGAGGTATTGAAGTTGTGATTGGTGATGTGAGGGATAATGAGGAAGAAGTGGGCGAGGATGAAGTATCTGATGTATGAGTGTGTTCACGCCACAAAACTTTTCCAGTTCGATAGAATTCGAGAATATAGTAAAATGCGTGTCCATTTCTATCGATGAAATATTCATTATCGTTTGTCTGTTGAAAGAGAGCTTTATCGCGTTTAGCAAACATTGTTCCTAATAAAGTGTCTGGATAAGCCGTTAATGTTGATCGATAGGTTTCGTACTGTTAATTTGTCGATTTAGCATTAGAAACAATAAAAAGTTCTTATTTAGAAACAGGTGACACAAAAGGATACCTTAACCCCACCGACATTCAACACAATTCGTTCATCGAGATCTGCTACATCAATAATATTTTCGTTGTAGTCGTTTCGACTTGTGATACCATTTGAATCATAGCTGCCGCTTCCTCCAGCATTATTTCTTTCTCTCATCTCACTTTATCTTACTTTATTCTTATTCTTATTCTTATTTACTTTGTCAATATCAATCTATGCTTTGATATGATATGTTACAGTAATAGAAATTGCAAAAAATTACAATTTAGAACTTAAACACTTGCAAGAGAAAGTCAAACGTTTTAAACGCAAGCAATTGTTTTAAACGCAAGCAATTACTTGATAAAATTAAAAATGACAGTTTACAGCTAAGTAGTATTCATAAAGAAGACGATGTATGTGAGAAAAAACCCCCTTTAGCTAGATCACGGACTGAGCGTAAAAATACTATCAACAACAACTCCTTAAAAAAAAGAGTTCGTGTGATCATTGTGTTGCAGCGAATTACATTATCATTATTCATTTTTATTAGGTTGAGTTAGCATGTGATAGCGTGTCAGGTACATGTATTAAGAAATTTTTATAACGATAATGGTTTTCTTCACACCAATCTATTAACGTTAACGTTAAAGAATACGCATTATCGTTATTGCATGCATATTACTAATAATAATAAGATCTTCCTTTATTAGTTCTACTACAAGATAGGAAACGTATCGATATGCACTTCGACTCATTAAGCAACGGCAATCGTGGCATCTGAAACGTAATAATACTGTTACATGTATCGGTATCATAAAATTTGTATTGATAACGATAAGAATAACTTGCTATTTATATGATGATTAAGTTGGTTGATTTAAAACATTATTTTTTTGATTATGAACATGGTATTTTTTCCATGGGTTGTTTCGGAATGCAAAAAATTGTGAGGACAATTCTTTGGTATAATTAATAAAAATCAAGTAATTATCCGCTGAAATTTTCTTAACCGACACTACAAAGTATCTTTTTCTCTCAAGAGTCATTACATGTAATAAAATTGCTAATGAAAGTGCATGATGTGGTATCACAAAATCCTTCCAGCCGCCAATTTTTTATACCACTCGAAACCTTTTTCATTACTTATCTCAATGCCAAATCTTTTGAGATAACACCAACCGACTTGATTCTGCCATTATATTAGCATAACGCGAAAAGTAAAGTGAATTCAACATACTTTATTGTATATTTGACTATGACTTGATGCGGAATCTTGATGCATTCTAGTCATCACTGCAATGCAGGCAGCAAAGTATTTAGTCGGAGAAATCTAGTGTTTCATATTTCTGTCATGTCTTTAGTCGGAACAGGCACTTAATAGTAGAGACTTTGTCTTGTCAGTTTAATGCGGGTGATTGTAAAAAAATCAGGTTGCTTCAAGTACATGTAGTTTATTATCGCCGTTTGCGTATTTGTATAGCAGGTGGTTTTTATTGGTAATTTCGTGATTATCTCATGAAGATTATTATCTCATTCACCTTTGTTAAAGTGCTCCGAAATTGCATATTTGACACATAACTATCAAAAGACCGGAAAATTGAGTTTAGAGAAAATCGTGTTTATCGGTGATGGATTACGCACATAGTCAACAAAAAACAAAAATAAACCAAATTATACCGATACCGGCAAAAAGTGAGACAATCAAAAGAAATTATCATCAATAACAATAAACTAAAAAAATCACCTGGCTATATAAACATGCAAACGGCGATAAATTTGTGTTTTGTATATATCGATATGCAAATAGGGATGTTATCAGTTCGAGTCGGTTCAGTTCGGTTGAAAAATCCCGGTTGGTGGTTGAACCGCGGTTATTGATTAATCACATGCGTGGAAAAATCGAGCATTCCATACAAATTTATTTATACATGTATATCTTAATTATGACAATAACGATAATATTCGTTAACGTTTAAAATAAACAAGTGAATGAAATCTATTTCTATTTGTATAGTATCTATCAATAACTGCTTCTATTAATAATTTCATTCGTGTATGTCAGTATCTGTTTCCATCCAACTTTTCAAACACAGAGAAGCTTGGAAAAAGGCGGTTTCGAACCTATGAGCAGCAACTGAAAAATGCTTGCTCACATGCCTTGAATAGCAAGATAACTTCGTGCTATTTTTGCTAATGTTGGAAATTGATCTTCATATTGTGGATTATAATCACACAATGGCAAGACTAAATAACGTGTTAACTCATCATCTAATGACGATGCATGTTGTTTTTCTTGTGTAATAAGCGAAGAATAACGATAATGTTGTATTAGTGTTTTAAGGTTTGTAATAGCTATGTTGCTTTCTTCTCCAGTTGTAAAAGTAAGTAATTTTGAGCGTGGATCCAGTATAGTAGAAATTGTTGTAGGTTCATCAAAAGATTCCAATAATCAGCAAGTTTTTGCGAATAGATTCAGCCATCATGCATTCTTCTTCTGTATGATTATTCATATAATTTTCGATATGTTGTAGGAGTTCTTTGAATGTTAAACAAATATCACTCATGGTTGGATAAGTGGATGATGATAATATTTTAGTTGCTTTAAACATTGGTTCCAATAATTCAATTATTGAATAAATATCATTCCATTCTGTGTCATCAAGATATAATAATTATTACTTGCAACAAGAAAATTAAGCTCCTTTCGCATTATTTTGAATTTCTCAAGCATTTGATGTGTACTATTCCAGCGTGTAATAACATCAAGATCAGGTTTGATATAGTTTTTCTTAATAACTTGGCAATAACTTCTAAGCATATCGATATCGCAAAGAATTGTTGAATTTCGAATTTTTGTTACAAATGTTCTAACTTTATTAATAATTCCTACATTTAATTCCATTCCATGAGTTGTTGCAATATTTAAAACATGATCAGCACAGCAATAGTGTTGAAACTCGCAATTATTCCATCTATATCTAATTCATGTGTTATAAGTTTTCCACAAAGAATCATTTTTGAATCATTTTCAGTAATATTTTTCCATTTAGATTCATTTCATTAAGTAATTGAAGAAACTTTTCTTTCGTTCTAATTCCTGTATGGTTGTGTTCAAAATGAATTAAATCCAATAGATAATGTTGCATTAATGAATAGTCACATCAAGATATGCTTGATCGAAACTGAGTAAGTGAAACTTTTGCCTCCAATTTTTCTAATTTCTTTGCAATCTGTATTCGGGAATTACTAAAAAGATTTATAATATTTTTTTGAATATATTGACGTGATGGTACATCATATCTTGGATCAAGAGTGTTGCAAAGTTTTTTAAACCAATTACTTTTTACAATGGAAAATGGTAATTGATTGCCCAAAACAAAATCAATAACTGCTTTTGTACATTCAGCTTTTCGATGGTCATTTTTTCCATATGGTTTATATCATTTTTGTTCATTTATTACAGCGATAGTTATATGATGTCGATTTTGAAGATGATCCATAAGAGGACGAGTTGATGTTTTTTTTGCTGAATGTGTTTTGAAATAGATTACAAACAATAGCTTCTACTTCATGGTTTTCATTGTATTTTTTACTCATATAATTCCAAACAAGAGATGTTTGATTGTGCCGATTTTTATTGATAGTAGATTCACTTTCGGATATAGTATATTCAATTTCAGATATAGATGAACTTGCAAGTTCAGTTTCAAGATCATAATTATCTTCTTCGATATTATTAAATTCTGCAATATTTTCTAAATCAAATCAAATACTTCGTTTTCAATAAAATTTGAGGTATCATAAAGAAATATTTTGTATATAATACAAGACATTTTTCGTTTTATAATATCATGTACGCGTTTGTTTTCTAAATTAAAATTAGCCACAGTTAAAAATTAATTAATGATTAATTAAATTGATTTAACCGAAGTTAAACCGATTCAATCAGTTCGGTTGAGAACTGACGCTAAACCAGTTTATCTGTAATCAATAACATCCCTATATGCAAATTGGATTACAAGGAAAAAAATTTTTGGAAATTCTAAACAAACAAATGTTATCAAGGAAGTGCTGGCAAAAGAAGCATTAAATGAACGTTGAAATAATTAATTCATATGGAATGTACTTCTATTATTGCAAACATTAGTTGAATAATTTCGATGTAATAATTTTATTATAAAGAATGTTAAAATTCGAAGTTTGTAAGATGCAAAGATAATTCTGCATTGTCTAAAGATGAAATGCCAGTCAATAAAAAACCAAGCAAGTTACTATCGTAATGCCCAATAGATTTGTTCGGTTTCTATTGACTTCCCCCAAAATACTGCTATTTCCCTTTGAAAAAAGCTCCAGGTATTATGGGTAAAGTTGAATGGGAAAATCTTTTCCGCACAAACATTTCGACACTACGTATTTTGATAAGCATATAATTATTGGGATTTGCTTGTCTATCATTAAACATCCATGTATATACGTACATGTAGAGTAGGTATACATGTAGAGCAGGGATAAGAATCGATTAATTTTGTATATATATACATGTAGAATCGAGGAAATCGATTCTTAGAATCGATTAATATTTGAGAATCGATTCTGAGAATCGATTAAGTTTGTAGAATCGAGGAAATCGATTCTTAGAATCGATTAATATTTGAGAATCGATTCTGAGAATCGATTAATTTTGTAGAATCGATTAATATTTGAGAATCGATTAAAATTAAAGAATCGATTTTAAAGTCAAAATCGATATAGCGCTACATACTCTGTCATTCAACAAAAAAGTTAATATTGATAATAACCAAGAAACCATTGCCAATATAAAGTTTAATAACTCTGATAGTGATATTGATCATGATAATATCTATACCACGTAGTATCTACGACTTCAACTAATCAACTTCAACTACTCCAACGAAAAATCAACATGCAATGAAAAACAAAACCAAAGTCTAGTAATAACATCGCCGTCATCGTCGTTATTGTCGTCGTCGTCGTCGTCGTCATAATCGTCGTACTTTTGGTTGAAAATCGATTCCTATCCCTATCGCTATATCCAATTCTTTCACAATTCTTGCCATATCAGTTCCACCTGAATGTCTATTTTCAGATGTGGGAAACTTAATTACACACGAATGAAATCGAAAATAGCTGTTTAGTATAACTTGAGAATCGATTTTGGGTTGAGATTCTAGAATCGATTCTGGGTTAAGAATCGATTCCTATCCCTAATGTAGAGTAATTGAAAGCATAACCTCCAAATTGCATTACTTTACAGTGTTCAGCTTCTTTAATAAATTCTGTTTGAAATTTATCACTATATAGGATTCTTCCATTCAACAACGTATTATATCTATCTATGTTTAACTTCAAGCCAAGTTCATTAAGTTTGAGTCACGTGATATTTTGAATTCCATACAAGTATTTCCATTTAATTGAACAATACATCTTGACTCTCATTTGAATTTATGCATCTCGGTCAAAACCACTGGTACATGACATATTGTCACGTCTAGGACGGCAAAACTGAATTCGCGCTAATATTTTTGTCATAATGATGGTTTTTATTATTTCCCCAATAATATAGTTTATTGAACGCACACGATAGCCTATCCTTATGTTAACGTTAACGTCTAAATATAGCAATTGATCATCGAGTCATATTGAAAAAGTTATTTTTATTTCAGAAAATTTAAATTCAAACGGACAGAATTACGAATTTGTGATATCACAAAGGATTCTTTATCCGGCCTGTGACACATTTATGGTAGATAAAAGTGTAGCGGTGACGAATAAAAATTGATACACATGTTTAGCATTTGATACGTGCGGTCAAACCGACATTACAGATGCATAAAACCATACAAGCAAGCCAAGATTTACCGATACATGTCACGTCTCACAAATTTATTATGAAGTTCAACAAATAATCTAACGCTCAAACGTGTTATAATTATTATTATGTATGCACCAATTATCATGACAAATGCTAAAACCAATGCCATATATCGATATGGTATGTCTGTTACCAAATTTGGTAAATCTATGGATACTTTTGATAACGATAATACTAAATTAAAATTTTCTGTACAAAGGAAGGGGATAAAAAAAAGGCGAGTAATGAAACGACGCGAAACTAATTTCCCCATATTGGTTGTTTTGTAATAAAAGATATTAATAGTTGCGAACCTGCGCATGATTGTAACAATAAATCTATATCCAAAAACATGGAAAAGAAAAAGCGAGCTGCATAAAATGTTCATAAGCTTATGACATTATATATGGATGTATTGGTATGTATTCATGCAACTAAATTCTAATACCACCAACAAGCATCTCATCGTAACTTTCCATCTCCAATTCACAAATATTCTTTTGTTTAACATCAAGATGACTTTCTTCTAAACTCGGGAAACTCACATACTCTAACGGGTCCTTATTGTGCGCGGTGAAGGATGGAGGTGTACTACTTAGTATTCTTTCATCGTCATAATATATTGAAGACGATGATGGTAAGTCAACCTCCGATGAATGACTATCACTGGAAATCGAGAAATTTGTTGAAGAGCTGCTAAAAGAACTCGCTGTTATTGTTCCGCTTTTTTCACCGTGTCTTGCTTGTTGTCGTTTTATTCTTCGAGGTGAGTATGAGAATGTTGGTAGTCGATAAAGATGTAGTGAAGAAGATTTGTCGATTAGGTTTAATGCTGGCTCCGAAGATGACGAAGACGATGTTTCAACATTGGATGTATATTTGTCATATTGCTTTTTTTCATCGAGCAAAGGAAGTGGTGAGAATTGTGAGAAGAAAGAAAGCATTTTCGTTTGAATATTTGCAGTTGAAAGTTGCTGGTACGTCGTTAAAGAATATTATCTATTATCGCGTCTGTCGTTTTATAAAAGTTTAATAATAAAGTCAAATTTGACTTTACGTTTCTAGTAGGCTTAGTCTTTTCTGTGCGAACTTCAAATGCACGAAAAGAACGGCGATTCAGTCTAGGATCCAGTTCCGTTATTTTTTTGCGGGCGGTGTCTAGATGTCTGTCTTTATTTCGATGCGTAAAATTCTTATATCAAAAAAAAATATTATCTTTATGCTCCTCGATAGTCGCTGAGTGATAGACGAAATGTATTTGTTTTGAAATCAAAAAAGTTGTTATTATCAGTCGAATGTAGATTTCGCTTGAGTAATCAATCACACTAAAAGATGAGTAAAGAGGATGTCAAATGAGGATGAGCGAAGAAGAAAAAATTTGTCTAAAAAAACGTGTTTGTTGTATATAATCACAGTAAACTATTAAAAAGAAGAAAATGATCAAAAATTCAACAGAGCCGAGTTGTATTTATAGACCGAGCTCATACGTTTATTATAAATTGGGGTTATCATGTAATTTCATGTGCACATACGTATTACCGGATGTATACTGTACCGGTACTGATAGCAAAAAATGTGAGTACATTTCACGCTTGATTGGTTAGTTATAACGATAATGTGTGCGGTTTGAAGGATTTGCATTATTTTGCTTGAACAATATTGTATACTGTATGTTACGTTAGACATGCAAGAAAGACAATCGATTTTTTGGGTCCCGGAATCAAAAGTCAATCATATTATAGTTTCAAAATATGTGGGATGGGTAGGTAGGTGCTCAATAATCATCTATTCGGGTTAAACGTATGAAATAAAAGCAAGGTCAGTCTATTACAATTTTAGGCAACCGATCACATTCCGCATATTAATGTTGTAATACAACTTTTTATTTATCACTCATTCAATTTTGGGTTTGCATATTCCTCTTTTGTTATTGTAACTCGTGATTTCCTTTATCATTATTATTCTGTCTCGTAATACATGTATCTTGTCTGTATATAATAAGCTAATAACGATAACAATTATTAATTAAAAGATGCAGGAAGTTTTTATAAAGCCATATTATATTAATTAAAAGATACAAGAAGTTTTGATAAAGCCATATTTACATGTGTTGTTGTCATCGTAATGATCGCGTGAAGATGGTTGATAATAAAGCATCTTTATCGCTTTGATCAGTCATTACATGTATTTAGTTAATTTATTTGTCCAAGCGTCATTGTTCAATAAATGACGAGACCACTGCCGGAAAATCACAATGGGATAAACACTAAAGAAAAATAAAGTACCTGCATTGCGCGGCCAATACATGTACTTGATTTTTCCTTGTTGGTTTTAGTTCCGTGTGACCAAATAATCCTGCTTTAGTATTTTGTGGCCCTTGAATGAGAAGAGGCCTAATTTGTCTGGATTTTCCGGGTGAAAGGATCGGGTCCCTTTTCTTTTGTTACTCATTATTCGAAAGACTGCATACCCCCGTAATTTGCACAAGATTTCTTGTTTACAGTCGACTTTCGATATAACGACGTGCAGATTCTATTGAATTTATATTGTTTACAATAGGATCTGCACGTAGTTATATCGAAATCGACTGTATTTGTAAGCGTTTTATTTGACGGATATGTCAAAGAATATGATAATATCAACAAAGACATCCACGAAACGTAGTCAAAACAGAAATTGTTTGTTTATTGCCGAATTTATCTAAAAAAATCATGCGGCACTTTATAGTCTCTAAAGTCAGCCGGCATTTAATCCATACCGAATTTTTGTGTCTTAACGTTAAGCTAGCTTTCATTGTGTGAGTTGATTTATAAACTATAAAAATAGATAAAACAAGCCTATACATAATTGAAATTAAAGATTAATTTTGTTCAATTCGCGTTTGGTGGATATGAAGGCGGAATCTAGTTGGTGGCTGTAAGAGTTATTTAAGCCTCTAGTGCATCACTATTGCTCATTTCAAAAATGATCTTACGAATGATGTTTCATAAATAATTTAGAATGGTTCAATATTCATTTATACCACATGTATTATAAAAAGAATACCGTTTATTATCGGAAATTAAATGAAAGAGCTTAAAAAAAGCATCACAATCGACGATAGTTCTTGTACATTTCATCTAAATATAGAATCAGATGCTGGACCTGCTTTTCTAAGCTATGAGAAGTTAGCCAAAAAGGTGGCTATGCACAATTACATGTATTTACTTGACAGCTTTATTTCGCTTAGTCTTTAACATGACAGTACTTGTTAACAATGTGCTAGAACAGCTAGGGTTCCGTTCGGGTAGGTTTTTTACAAACCGCTATCAAACCGAAATGATCGGTAAAGGGAGTGCCACGAATTATGTGATTTGATATAAGGGGAAGTTCCGTCGCGTCTAATATTTTACTAATTAATAATTAATAATTTTTCCAATATGAAATAATCACAGCCGGAATTTTTCGGCTCGATAATTTATCAAACCGAAATTATCGGTTTATTACCGAAATTTAATCCGATAATGATTCTACTGGAAGTTTATCGAATTCATTTTGACGAGTTAGGCGTTATGCACCATATCGCATTGGGGTGTAAGATATTTATATTTGAGACAGTAGCGATAGTAAATTTTGTTGGTACATGTACAGATTTTTTTTATTATATGTAAATTTTTCTTATAAGTGTATATGAAATCTTTTTTATTCTTATTGAAATGTAAGAATACTCAACATACATTAAAATTATATCTCTTATATTATAGTTTGGTACTATTTTGAGAATGATATCTCTTTTTCTTGAAAAGTTATAAGCTTTTAAATTTTGTATAAATATTATTATTTTTTTTTAGAAAAAATTTTTATTAAAAACTCAAAAAACAATTAAATTATATTATTTTAAAAATAATACCTTTTTTTGAAAAGTTAAAATATGTATATAATATTTATTAATTTAATTTATATAAAATATCTCACCAACCATATGTATATGAGTATTCAAGACAAATTTAACTACTAGTAATTAAGTGAAAAGTGAAAAAAATTAAAAGCTCATCATATTTGATCAAAAACATAAACTAATATCAAAAACTGATATTATTGATATCGATTAGTTATCTTTTAAACTCATTTAGTTCGAACTGGTTTATTTTTAATATCTAAAACTGATTCTAAACCAGATTTAAACATTAAAATAAAACGAACTTAAAACTAGTTCAAAAACTCTTGAACCAATTAATAAGACTAAATAGCCAATCCAATTTTTACTAAAACTGATTTTTTCAGGTTGAAGCTAAAAAATTTCAAACAACTAGTGATAAATTATTTAAGAATTACATAAATTAAACTATAATTATTATAATACTCATTTGAATTATGTGCTTTGCTTTTTTCAAGAAATCAAAAAAGTAAATTTTAATAAAATTTTGATATTAATAATAATAATAAATTATTAAGCTATTTATAAATACAAAATTAATTTACAAATATAATTATAGTCAAATCTCTCTATAGTTACCACCCTTGGGAAAGCAAAATTTGATGACTATAGAGAGAATGTGACTATAGAGAGATTTTTTTTACTATGTTTATATGTAAATAAAAAAGCAAAATAGAGTGATTATAGAAGAATGTGACTATAAATAAGTGTGAATATAGAGAGATTTGACTGTATATTTATTTCTAATTAAAAATTTTTCTCTTTTAATTAAGAATTTAAGAAATAAATATTTATTTTAGTTGTTAATATGATTATTTTTAATATATCTTTATAATAGAATTCTGAAAAAAAGTCTGATTCAGTTTAAGCTTGAACCAAACTTGAACCTGATTAAAAGTTTAATTCAAAATTTGAATTCAATTAAAAGTTTGGTTTGAGTTTGATTCAAACTTTGAATTTGATTCAAACTTAATTAAAAGTCCAGTTCAAGTTTAAGTAAATGTTCAATAAGTTTCTAAGTAAACTTATAAATCAGAATTAGAACTACAAATTAATATAAAATAGTTAATATTAAAAATAAATATTCAAAAAAATATTTAAATTTAAAAATTATTTTTAATTTTTATGATTTTAATTTATTTGAGTTACTTTATAGTAAATATTATTTTAATATAGTAATAATAAATTATAATTATAAGTAAAATTATAGCCAGAAATAAGAGCTATAATTTGATATAAAATAATTACTATTAATAATGATTATTCACAAATATATAAAATTTATAATAAAATTTAATAATCATAAAAATAAAAATAATTTAGTTATTACTAATTAAACTTTTAATTTTTATTAAATAATATAATTTATAATTAGTTTTTATTTAGAATTACAAATTAATATATTATATTATATATTAATTTCTAATTGAACTCAAATCAGACTCAAATTCATATAATAATTTAGTTTGAACTTTAAACTTTTCTTGAATTTAAAAATTCAAACCAAAATTTAATTTGAGTTTAATTTAAATTTCAAAGCAAAACTCAAATTTAGATAAAAATTCAGTTTAGTTTAGTTTATAAAAATATCACTTTATAAAAAATATCTTATTTATTGAATAATAATTAAATATATAGTATTATAATTATTTTCAATAATTCCGTAATTAACAAATCTTTTAAAAATAATAGAAAATATGAAAATCTTCAAAAATAGTAATAAAAACAACAAATCGATAAAAATAGTAT